AGGGAGGTGGAGGTGGAGGTGGAGGAGGGAGGTGGGGGTGGAGGTGGGGGTGGGGGTGGAGGTGTAGGTGGAGGAGGAAGAGGTGGAAGAGGAGGAGGAGGTGGAGGAGGAGGAGGAGGAGGAGGAGGAGGAGGAGGAGGAGGAGGAGGAGGAGGAGGAGGAGGAGAAGGAAGTAGCAGCATTGATAGGAGGAGGAGGAGAAGGAAGTAGCAGCATTGATAGGAGGAGGAGGAGGAAGCAGTAAATCCATGGGAAATCCCCCCCCCCCCCCGTCCACCAAAAGAGAGCATGTTACTATCGTTACTATGTTACTATAAGAAGAAGAAGAAAAAGAAAAGGAGGAGGAGAGAAAGAAGTAGCATTGATAAAAGGAGGAGGAAGAAGCAGTAACATCCATTGACCCCCCCCCCCCCCACCAAAAAAAAAAAAAAGCGTGTTACTATCGTCTTTTTTTTTTTTTTTACAGTAGACAAAAAGTCTTCCTGGAAAAACTGCCAGTGGGGTTGGTTCTTGGGACTTTTTACCCCCCCCCCCTCCCCGCGCCCTTTGTGGTGGCTGGCCGTAGCATCCTCACAATCGTCACAACAGCTTCAGTCACGTGAGAAACCATCCCTGCTGAATTAAAAGGGAAGGTTGTAATACGCGTGTTTCTATTTTTTTTTTCTCTCTTTTTTTTTCTTTCTGTCAGTCGTGGTATTTGGTGTTAGCTACATTTTTGGTTGCCAGTATTTGAGAAGAAAATCCCAGATATGATTAGGGTGTCAGGCGGATTAGCTCCTCCTCTCCCCCTCCTCCTCCTCCTCCTCCGCCTCCTCCTCCTCCTCCTCCCCCCCCCCCCCTCCCCCGAAGTCCCGTCGAAGGAGGCCGTCCCTCGCGCCTGGGTTTCACTGGACGTTCGATGCGATGCCTTGCTGATCGAGGCTAAGGCGCTCTGTTTCAGATTACAGCCGCACGCGCGCGCGCACACACACACACACACACACACACACACACACACACACACACACACACACACACACACACACACACACACACACACACACACACACACACATATATATACGACGTACATACACAATTTTTTTAACACAGGGGAGAATATGAGGGAAGAAGGAAGGGAAAGAGAAAGGGAGATGAAGAAAGAGAAGGGAGAGGGAGAGACGGAGACATACAGGTGATGTTATTGTTATTAAGTGATGGGCGCGCTGTGCTGTCAGCTCCAGTCCGCTCAGGAGCCTCTTTCATAACGGTCGGATGAGCTGAGCAACCCAGCCGCCCCGCGTCTTCCCTTGCCTTCCCCGTGTCTTCCCTTGCCTTCCCCTGCCGTCCCCTGCTGTCCCATGCTGCCCTTTGGCTGGCCCTCTGCCGCTCCTTCTGTCCACCTCCCCTGCCGTCTCGCTCCGTCCCCTGTCCTCAAAATATTCCAAGTGTCGCATCCCGGCGTCCTCCTACCCTGCCTTCCCTCGCCGCTCTTCTTTCCCCCCCCCTCCCTCCTCCCTCCCCTCCTTGTCCATTTTCCAACCTCTGCCGTCTTCTGCCGTCGCCTTCCCCGTCTGTCCCCCTGGCTATATCCCCTTCAGCTGCCGTTCCCCCTGGATGTGCCCACCCCCTCCCCCAGGCCGTTCCCCAACCCGCTCCTCCTCCGTCGGCGTCCCCTGGCTGTCTCGGGCGTCCCACTGAGGCGGAAGGCGTCGACGCCACTTCCGCGTGACACTCCCCTTCGCGGGCGCCGATGACAGGCTCCGTGGCGTGGGCGGAGGGGGGGAGGGGTGAGGGGGGCCCATGTGGCGGTGGCGGTGGTCCGTCTCTTGCGGGGAGGAGGAGGAGGAGGAGGAGGAGGAGGAGGAGGAGGAGGAGGAGGAGGAGGAGGAGGAGGAGGAGGAGGAGGAGGAGGAGGAGGAGGAGGAGGAGGAGGAGGAGGAGGGGTAGAAAGAGGAGGTTGGGAAAAAGAAAGGTGAAGACGAAGGGGGGTTGGGGGAAGATGAAGAGGGAAGGAGGGAATAGGAGAAGGGGATAGGGGAATGAGGAGAAAGGAGGGGAGGAAAAAACAGGGAAAAGAAGAAAAAAGGTGAAGTAAGAGAAATGGGAAGGGAACCGGAGAGAATGGAAGGGAAGGGAAGAGAAGGGGGAAAGGAGGAGGTGGAGGAAATACAAAAACTGGAAGCTGGAAGAAAGAAAAAAATATTACATGGAGGAAGGGGTGAAGTGTGGAGGGGAAATGGAGATCGAAGGAGATGGAGAAAGAGATGGAGAAGGAAAATAGGAGGCAGGGAGGGAAAGGAAGTAAAGCGAGGGTGTGTTGAAGAGGCAATGAATTCAAGCGGCAACGGACCGCCCGTCGTCTGTGCCCCCCCCCCCCCCCCCCCCTCTGCGCCCACGTGCTAGGTGCTACCTCTTCCCCCCCCTCCCTTCTCGGCTCCCTCCCCCTCCCCACTCCACTCCTTTCTCCCCTTCTTCTTCTTCTGTCTATCCCTCCTCCTCCCTCTTATTTTTCCTCTCTCTTATTTTTTTTTTATCCTCGTTCACTTCTCGTCCCTGTTCATCATCGTCGTCATATTTTTTTTTCTCATTATTATTTTTTCATCTACTCCTTCCCCACCCGCCTCTATGTCTTCCCCGCCCTCCTCTTCCTCTCCCCCATTTTCCTCTTCCTCTTCCTCGCCTTCCTCTTCCTCTTCCCCGCCCTCCTCCTCTTCCTCTTCCCCGCCCTCCTCCTCTTCCTCTTCCTCTTCCTCTTCCTCTTCTTCTTCCCCGCCCTCCTCCTCTTCCTCTTCCCCCGATATTTCCCTTTTCCCTCGCCTTCTTCACTAGCTGTCTGTAGACAATGCCCCAGTTCGTATTTTTTTCCTGCTTTTTTCTTCCCCGTCACCATCTGCGCCGCATTCCTCCCCGGCACCACCTGTAACTAAGGGACAATGGGATAATGGATGGGGGAAGGGGAGGGGGAAGGGGGAAAGGGAAGGGGAAGGGTGAGGGAAGGGAGGGGAGGAGAGAGTCAGGTGGAAGGGTAGAGAGAGAGAGAGAGTGTGTGTGTGTTGTGTTTGTGTTTGTATGTGTGTGTGTGTTGTGTTTGTGTTTGTATGTATGTGTGTGTTTGTGTGTGTCAGTGTCAGGGAGAGACAGTGACAGAGGGGAGGCGAGGGGAGGGGGGCACACCGCAAAGATGTCAAGACCTAGATTGATATTGAGTGTTGATATAGATTTCCTTTCGCTTGACTGTTGTAGTGATATTTGTATCTTTTGGTAGTTGGGCAATTGATCAAGCAGTCAGTAATCTCTCTCTCTCTCTCTCTCTCTCTCTCTCTCTCTCTCTCTCTCTCTCTCTCTCTCTCTCTCTCTCTCTCTCTCTCTCTCTCTCTCTCTCTATCTATCTCTCTGTCTCTCTCTCTCTCTCTCTCTCCCCCCCCCCCACCTATGTGTGTGTTTGTGTGTGCGTGCGTGCGTGCGCGTGTGTATGAGTATGTGTGTAAGTGTGCGTGCGCGCGTGTGTGCATGTGTGTTTTAATATACATGTCTTCATTTTCTCACTTTTTTTCTCCCTGGGATTTGCCGAATTTTGTCTCTCCTGCACTACCTGGAAATGTATTTTGGGGAACAGGTGTTCGCATAGATATACGAGCCGTCATTGTCGGATCATCAATTGTTCGTTCGAGAATTTAAGATAATGAAGCCGAAGCCCGGGCCGATGCGATATGAAAATGGCCTTAAAGTTGTCCTGTCACTGTTCGCATCGTACAAAAAAAAAATGAAAACAAAAGAAAAAAAAACACATATATTTGGGACTCTTCGCTTAAAGGACTGCAAGACGAAGGAAACAATAACGGCAGCAAAAATAATTAGTTTTATTCTCATCCGTTGCCTTTGAAGTCGGTCAGGACATAATGGAGAAGCGCTTATCGATTCTCTCTTTTTTTATCTTTTCTTTTCTTTTCTTTTTTTTATTAAAATTATTTTTTTTCGAGACAGAAAAATGAAAAGTTGCATCTCTTTTGTTGTTATTGTCATTGTTGTTGTTTTGTCTTTCATATTATTCGTCGTATGAAGTTTTGGGCAAAAAAAAAAAAATTGTTGCTGTTGGGGAAAGTCCTGGATTTTGGACTTGTAATTTTCGTTGATTGATCCGTTTGTTATTGTTATCGTTAGCGTGGCAATGGTTACAGTAGTGATCGCTGTAACGGCGGTAGTAATACTGGAACGGGAGACAGTGCGCGAGCAATTTATATATTTATGCGTCCGTGTGTTGCATGACCGAATAGCGAGATCAATTGAAGAGCCAAAAAAAAACAAAAAACCTTTGAATGTGTGTTCGTCATCTGGGAAGCCTATTTACCGCCGTTCCAACGTAATAAAGGTGCGTTTCAAACCCCACGTCACGGGCGGTAAGAGGACCTTCCGCTCTGATCGTGTGTGAAATATATATACCCTTTCAAAAGCACAACTTAATTATTATGCATAACTCGCCGTGATGGTGTTAACACGGGCGTGACAGGCGGCGGAGTGATTGGATTGTGACCGGGCGGGCCTTTCGACGGCTGGTGGGCGGGCTGGCGTGGGCGCGCGGGTCCGGGCTTGGGCGGGTGGGCGCGTTGGGAGGGCGGGCGCTGGTGTTCATCAGTAAGTGCAGTTTGTCCCTCGCGGGGTTCGCGTGTTCTCTTTATTTTCATCCTCTTGTAGGTGGGGAAGGTCTCTCTATCTATCTATTTATATCTTATCTATCTATTTATATCTAGATATCACTCCCTCCCTCTCTCAACCGTTCTCTCCCACCTTCCCTCCCTTTCTCTTTACCCTTCTCCCTCTCTCTGTCTGTTTCTTCCATTTCTCTCCTCCTTCCCCTCCCTTTCCCCCCTCTTCTCCTCCTCCCTCCCCTCCATATCACCCATATAAATCATCATCCACATCTACACCCCCTCTCCCCCCCCACACAGAAAAAAAAGATGTATGAGCTGTATGACCAGAATGTAAACAGTGAAATTGAATTAGTCCGTTCTCCCCCACAGCTGTTGTTGGAGCACCTAGAATGCCTGGTGTCGCGGCACGAGCGGTCGCTGCGCATGACGGTGGTGAAGCGGCAGGCGGCGTCGCAGTCGGGGGTGTCGTCGGAGGTGGAGGTGCTGAAGGCGCTCAAGTCCCTGTTCGAGCACCACAAGGCCCTCGACGAGAAG